GCTCCGTATAGCGATCCCGAAAAAGGGGATCGCTATACGGATTCATCGTTATACGGTGCGCTCGCTAAGCGAGGCACCACTGTACTCTATTGCTTAAAAAAAAAAAAACCTGGAAAGGGTTGCCAAAAGTCATACTTGTCATGAAAGTATATAATAATTAAGGAAATTGTTCTGATCTGTGGTCAGAAATACTCAAAGACAAGGGAGTCCACAGTGGATTGGAATTTCTCAAGAATGGGATACTGTATCCCTGTTATTATCCCTTATTAATGTCTGTTCTTTCATATGTGCTAGAATATTAAATGGGAACACTTAGGGATGATTAGGAATGCCATTATTTTTGCTTTTGATTTACATGATGAGAAGTCACAATCAGAAGTTTATTTAGTTGGGCAGTCAGCCTTACACATTGACCAACTGTTCCCCTTCAAATGGAGGCTGAAGGCAGTTGTCTTTTAGTTCATTCTATTGCATAGCTCCCCATGCACAATGGGGATGATGTCATCATCAGTGGCAAATTGCTTCTCAATAAAGGCAATTTCTAGATGTCAATGAATCATACACAATGCAATGAAGTCAAGTGCACCCTGACATTACCAAAGCAAGCCTTTAATCAGTGCTGATTTGCTGCTGCTGTTGACATCATCCCTATTGTGCCTGCGGAGCTGTATAACAGGATTTCAATCAGTCATTATTATCAAAAGGAGATGAACTGACTCACAAATATATATGAAGGCAAAACAATCTTTACTATAGCCAGCCGATGCTCACTTAAAAATTCACATGAATTTCATGTACCTTTGGCAGCATTTCCCCTTTGTAATTATTCATCAGAGGAGGAATGAGTTTGCTGTGGAAAGTACATGCTACTGTATTTCTTTTTTTGTCCTTGCATGACTAATGACTGGCTGCTGCATATTCATTTCCAAAGGATGCTAGTTTGACCTGTGGGCTGCAGGAAAGTATTTCAGTCATACATTATCAATATTTCCTTTTAAAAGTCACTTGTTTTTCTGCCAAATGATTTGCAGTAGCAAAAGTGAACACAATTAAGCTGAAAATGAGAATACCGTTTACAGTTTTGATTAGCAGTAAAATGTTTGAACTCTCCCCGCCGCCCCGCCCCCCCAAAACCAATTTATAGCTTTAAACAAAAACAAGATTGGGGAAATCCAAGTGAAACCATGTTCTTCTTCTGTTTCTGTGCCAACAAGTTCATTTTAAACACATTTGTTTTCAATATTGTTTCTTAGGAACTGAAGAAAGAAGCAAAGGACAATAAGGGCTTATTGGATACCCTCAATGAAGTCAGCAGTGCTTTGTTGGAACTGGTGCCATGGAGGGCACGAGAAGGGATAGACAAGATGGTTACAGAAGACAATGGACGTTACAGATCAGTGAATGAAAGTATTACTCAGAAAGTGGAAGAAATTGATGCTGCCATTTTAAGATCGCAGCAGGTAAAATAATAGCCATTTTCCTTATCACCTCAGTCTCATTTTGTGTGTAATAGGAAAATATATATATTTGTGTCTGGGAGTTTATACCTGAATTCATATTGGCTGCATATATTTGCTCCATTTAAGCACTTACTGGGGCCAAGCTTGAAAAAAGCTTGGTCATAATTTTCAGACATGTCTCCTAGACCAGAGCAAATCCAGTCATTGTTGCAGCCATCTGTCTTTTGGTTGACAAAGAAATTAGAGATCCTCTCACACTGAGAAGCAGTACGAGTCGCATCCTGCAGTGACCTCAGCAGGAATTTCACTCAAGAGAGAATTGTAAACAAAACCCCCATAACTTTTGCAGCTTATGCTGGCATGTGAGTCACATACCAACTTGTGCAAACTGATGCTTCTAGTAAAGATCTTTAGAATAGCTAGCAAATGCAATTTCTCACAAAAGGCAAATGTTGTTTGCGGTGGCAAGTAACATTAAAACAAGGTTAATATATACATTTGGATTTTGTCTGTGGTTTTTTTTTCTTAATATTTAATTTGTCAGCTCTTTAATTCAGTATGACTCAGTTCCTGTGTTTTCTTTAAAAACAATGTGCTGATTTGTGGCCTGTTTCAGAGACATTAAATAGTGTGATAAACATGGATAATCTGGGCCCCCTTAACTTACTTTTCAACCATGAGTCATAGTTGAAAAATACTATATGATAGTTTATCCATTAAATTTCACCTAAAGTTGGAAGTACTGCACATACAGGAGTGGTTCAATAGCCACAAACATCTAAAATGTTGTCTTGTATCATTTGAGAGAATAATTTCTTGTTGAACCAGCTTATGTTGATAAAACAGTATTTTTTGAGTGACATAATGAGGAATTTTGCATAATTCTAAACACTGCTTATGCTGCTGCCAACTGAAACTGGTTGAATAAATGTTGCCATTTCGTGCCTGTCTTCTTTTGTGGATATTATACACATGGAAGCTGTTGTATATATATTTATGATGGAATTGTCTACTTAACCAGAGATCATTCAAGTATTGTGCCTTACTCATAAAGCAGACAGTTGTGCTAAACCAGAGGTAGGCAGGCTTAGGAGGCTATCTGCTAATTCTCTCCAAGATCCACTCACTCCAGGCTATATTCCCCAAACTGAATGGATTTCTGGTTTTGTAAATCTCTCTCTTTTAATGGCCCAAATAAACCCCAGTGATCCCATATGCTTTTGTTTCAAAAGAAAATCACCACTCTTAGAGGCTTTCAGGAATTTTCACTTTTCAAACTGTTTTTTCCTGTTGTTGTTGGGGGTAGAGTGCTGCAAAAAGAGGGAGACAGGCATGTTAATCCACCCCTGCTGTAGAATTAATTTACATCTGATCAGGTGAGTCCTCAAGAAGTCGAGGAGAGGCACATTTTGTAATACATTAGTCTTGAGTAGAGTTATGTCTGCTCTTTGTTGGTGGTGAAAATAAATGTCTTTGAATAGGGAGGAGTAGACAGATTCTAAAGAGAAAGTGTGCTGTGGTAACCATTGCAATTGTCAGGCGCTAAACCCCAAAGCGGGGAGTATAAAGAAGCAAGCTTGCTTTGTATTTTTGTGTATGTAAAGTCCATGATCTAGGAACCTACAATATGAGGTTTCAGAATCACAGGCAGGAAGTGAGGCACACATAACATCGGCTTTCCTCTGCAGATAGCTTCCTCTACACATGAAGAGAGGCTGGACAGGACTAGTGGAGATACAGAAGCAGAGATGGAGCCTGTGGGCAGAGACCTCTCCTTGTACTCCAGATTGTTATTTTTGAATGGCACAGAGTGCCAGGCCTGTTGTTTACAAGGATTAATTTTTGAAAGAAAGCTACCCATGGCCTTTGAAAGGAAGTTCGATTGGTTGGTTGGTTGGTTCCTGCTCCCATTAGTGCTGAGGCACTACTCTGGATGATTACAACAAATATAAAACAGATGATAAATAAAAACAAAAACACAAAAAGCAAATTGCAAATAATCTTAAATGCAGGCAGTGTGAAACAATCATACAGGAATATAAGTCATTTCCTTATACTAAATCAGCATCTGAAACCCAGCAGTAATTCTAGGCCCTTGTGTTGATGACAAAGAAGTTCTTATTCTTAAGCAAAAACAAGGCAAAGTGTGCTGCTTATATACTGTCCCATAGCATTTAAAGAACTTCCTGGGTGGTTTACAATTTTAATTATGTGGGCTACATATTCCCCCCTCCCCCTGCCACAATCTGAGCACCTGCTTAACCTCAATAGGATGGAAGGCTGAGTCAACCTCAGTCCAGCTACCTGAGCTTGTTAGGATCAAACTCAAGAGTCATGAGTAGAATCTGGATTGCAGTACTGCAGTTTTAACCACTGTGCAACAAAGCAGAACAACTTAAGAGGAGAGTTTGAGCATGCAAGTACTAAACTGAAAGTTGTCACCAAGTTTAATTCTGATTATTTCATCATCAGTCAAGATTTAGATTTGCTTTTCTGTTACAGTTGTTGCATTAGCACGGCAAATAGAGGGAGTTGGCACTGCAGCTAATTACTATAGATGTGACTGGCGCATTGTGGTTGTATATATATTGGGGAGTTGCATAGAATTAAATGAAAACAGCTCCTGTTTTTTATAGGCTTTCAACCACAGTAAATCAGTCTTGAAAATATCACAACATTGTTTTTTCTGTTTTCTGTAACAGAACACAACGTCATCCTGTGTGTGACTGGGCTGAAGCCCGCTATTAATAGGTCATGTAAAAGGCTATAGCAACCAACCCTAATATCAGAGATTCTGTCAATTGGAATTGAGTTTAGGGTTTTGTAAATGTGAACACTGGAGACTAGATTCACGATTTCTGTAGCATTCAAAATATCTTTTGCCAACTATTATTTTTCCTTAAACACACACACACATCTGAGAGATTCCCCTTATTAATTGCTTTTCCCTCTTCCATGTTCTTTCTTAGTTTGATCAAGCAGCTGATGCTGAATTAGCCTGGGTTGAAGAAACAGAAAAGAAACTGATGTCTCTGGGTAATATTAGGCTTGAACGTGACCAGACCACTGCTCAGCTACAAGTTCAAAAGGTAAACAAACATGATGCCATCAGTTATATATTAAGTCATTATTTCTTCTGCTATGATTTAATTTTCAGCCAATTACTGTGTCCACTTTTCTTCTGCTTCCTCATATCCATAATACCAGACTATTTTATTATGTGATTAGGCATCCACCATGGAGATTTTGAAACACAAGGACACAATAGAAGAACTTGTTACATCTGGGGACGAGATTATGAAGACGTGCACAGAAGAGGAGAAGCAAACAATGAAGGTAAATAAGATGTTACATGTACTTGGCTAGAAAAGGATTGGTATGTCTATATACATATGCAATTCCAGAATTGTGTGCATAAAGAACAATAAACTTACACGTTGAAAAAACAATCTATCAAGTTCCCTACCAAGCATGGTGGTTCTCAAAAAACTGATTATTGCAAGTATACAGATGTAGTTGTTTGATGCTGCTGTTAGAATATGGGAACATCATTGTGCTAAAGCTGATAGATATGGTGCAACGCCAAAATATTATTTCCCAGAAAGCATTGTCCTGTTCCTGAGCTATGAATCTTTCCTTTTAATTTACTTAAAACTTTTCCCAAGTTATCAAACTCTTTCTACATAAAGCTCTTAACCCCAGATTCCCTTGCTAAAACATCTAAAGCAGTTTGTGTGACTAAATGAAGTCATAGCATTCAGTGTTCTTAGAAAATTCATCTCCTGGAGCTGGTTGGTCTCATTTGTCAGTACATGGGCAAACTCCGACATTTTTCAACATGTATTTTGGAATAAGAAATATTCTTCATTTTCTCCATCCAGCTGCACCAGATTCTGTTTTGTTCCTCTTCTTCTAACACAGTGGTTCCCAACCTCTTTCGAGTCACAACCCCCTTTTATAATAGCCAAGTAACCTGCAACCAGTTTGGAAAACACTGCTTTAACAGAACTATTCTGCTGAATTAATTTTATTCTGTGGAAAGCGGAATGCCTTCAGTCTGTGGAAGGCAAGGTCTGATACAAACCAAGATGTTTCTGGTACATTTCCTAAACCCAGCAGTAGTTAAAATACACAGATTTTTCCATCAGAATGTTTCTCCTTCTGACTAGGTAATCTGCTGTCCATGGTTTTTATGCCTTTTCATTACCTTGGAATGACATCTAAAAAGTCACAGTTCCTTATTATGCTTCTGTTTAGACCACTTCGGCTAAGTGCTAGACTTTTTTCTCCATGTTCACTCAAATTCATTACTGCAATAGAGAGAAATCTGCCAGATGTTTTGAGTTTCAGCTCCCAGCCAGCATGGCCAATGTTAAGGTATTATGGAGAGAGTAGTACCAAACATCTGGAGATCCAAATGTTCCCCACCTCTGCATTTCTACAAAACAGCTCTGAATGTAGACGTGAGAGAGATGGCCAGGCTGCTTACTTTATACAACAAGATTAGTTATGACACACGTACCTGTTTTGCCAATATATCCACTGCGTGAGACTCATGAAGGTTATGCAGCCATAGCTGTATATTATTTTGGAAAGTGATATGCCATGTTTTAATACTTCTAATGGTAGGTATTTACACTCTCATCGTATAAAATAAAAATTTGGATTAATATGGCTTCAGTGGAGCTCTTGTAAATGATAAATATTTATACCTTATTGATAAATATTGGTTTTACTGATTTTTTTAACAGAAGAAGCTGGAAAGTATTTTAGAGAAATATGATACGCTTTGTCAAGTGAACTCCAAGAGGAATCTGCAGCTGGAAAGGGCTCAGTCTCTAGTTAGCCAGTTCTGGGAGACTTATGAAGAGATTTGGCCATGGTTAACCGAAACAGAAACAGTCATCTCACAGCTTCCAGCACCAGCTCTTGAATATGAAAGTCTAAAGCAGCAACAAGAAGAACATCGGGTAAGCTTGCAGACATCTTATAAAAGTCAACCAAAATGCAGTGCTCTCCTTAAAATGTATCAGAACTGTGAAACTAAACTACCTAGGTTACGTTTGTTACTTCTTCGTTGTTAAACCAAACTGTAGTATGTTTGTACTTTGAGATTATTCTTGTGAGGCCAGATTTTTTAATTAAAACAAAAACAAAACAAAAAAGAGATAATTTAAGAGTTTACCCTTTCTTTGATTTCAAACAGAATCTGGGGGTAAGTAAGAATAAAAGTACATAAATGTAGATTCCAAAAGTTTACGGTTAGAAATAGTGTTTTGGCTAATTGAGATACCAAAATCAACATAGTTTAGAAACTGTAGACAGAAAGCAGATTAACCAAATGCAATGGGTAATAAACATTCATCTAGTTGTCCAGCACTGTAATGATTCATTAGGCCGCAACATTGTAAAAGTTGCCAAATTGCTTCAAAATGGCTATAAATAGCTTGCTTGCTCTTCAGTGCCATAAACAAGCAAGAAAGTTGAACCTTTGAGACTGCATTAAGGATCATATGCAATCTGCAGGGTCATCCATTGTTTCTTAGACTTGAAGAAAATGCTTTGCTTAAAAATAGATGCAGTTCTCTGTTGCATGTTGTACAGTCCCTTTTACAACACAATTGAGAGACCAGTTTTTCTAGGTTTTTTTTTAGTATAAATAAGCTCTCAAATGCAAAGAGAAACAGAAGGAATTACTTTTAGGGCCTGTGACTACATCCAGTGAGTCACTGTTTGTGTTAGAATGGGAAGGTTAATTGTTTAGACTTCTTTGCCAGCTGAATCTGTTAGATGCGCAAACAACTCCTATGTGGCAATGTCAGACTAAGATGCTGATAAGCATTTTGTTTTCCTACAGCAACTACGAGAGTCAATTGCTGAACACAAGCCTCATATAGATAAGATGAACAAAACTGGCCCTCAGCTTCTGGAGCTGAGTCCACGGGAAGGTTTTTCAATCCAAGAGAAATATATAGCAGCTGATGCCCTTTATAGTCAAATAAAAGAAGATGTCAAAAAGCGAGCTCAGGCTCTGGATGAGGCCATTTCTCAGTCTACTCAGGTAACATTATTTATAGAAGAATAACTAGATTCTCTCTGAAGGATATTGTTATCTTATGTCACTATAGCCAAGGTTCACACTGGGCTTATGAAGAATTTAAGTCAACATATGGTGTGTCAGTACTCATGTCACTGTGCATAGATTTGCTTTCCTTATATGTTCAAGAATTAGGGCAGCAATTTTTGAGGTTAAAAGGTGTGAATTTTGCCATCAGCTTTTAATATGAGCCTTCTCCTGAAACAACCAGTATGCTCCGATAATAGAGTGTGCTGGACTTTGAATGGAGAAAGCCAGGTCTTGATCTTTGTGTGGACGCATCCACTTTGGATGACTTTTAAAAGGGAACTGCTTCTCGCTCCAACCTATATAAATGGATGGTTTGGGAAGAGGTAAATTCAGATGGCTGAATGGACCCTGAGCTCCTTAAAAGAAAAGCACAAAAGAAGTTTTAGTAAGAAATAAATAAATAGTTACTGACAAGAATCCTAATGTCTATTTAATGTTTAAGAAAGATCATGTAAGCCTTGCTAACAAATTTATGCTCATTAACAAGGTGGTAGTTGTGTTTCTGGGTGAACTCTTAGTTGTATAGTCAGGCATGTGCTCAAGCAAACAACTCATGGTATGTTAATCATCAGTAGCAGATTGCTTCCAAGTCTTACAATAATTTCCCATATATGAGCTAAATTGGAACTAGGATTCTGGTGTCTGGTTGCGAAGCCAGAGCTTGGGAGTTTCATTTCCTACTGTGCCTCCTTGACAAGGGCTGGGCTCAGTTGACCCATAGGGTCTTTTCCAGCAATACAGTTCTAAGATTTTAAATTACAAGACCATGTATTCCTCAGTAATACAGGCAGTAAACTGTTGGTCTCAATGTTCTATGCAAAGAACAAAAGAGATTTTTGTACCAAGGCAGTGAAAGATTTCTACTCTCATGTTCTGGCTACAATATATACACTTATAAGTGTATAGTTGACTCGTTCCCTCCAATAGAATCAGAAAGATTTCCTTACCTAGAAGTTTGTTCTAGATTTCATTAGTTTGCCAGGAATCCCCTGACAGCTGAAACGACTTATGTTCTCCTAATGAACAAGAGCTGAAGAAATCTCACATCAGGTAATCAGCACTCAATAAAATGTTTGCCTTAGAGTAACAGCTTCCCAGGAAGTTCTGTGAACGATTTTTACATAAAATGTTGCCCTGCCTACAGACAGTGATGAATGAATCACTAAATGAATCAGGGAGTCAGATAAAGTCAAGGATTGTTGTTTAACAAGAGTATCAAAATCAAATGTATCATTAGATCCTGTCTCAGTCTGTGAAACTGCATATAGTTGAGAGAAGAAATGGAAAAGAGGCCAGAGCATGAAGATAACTTGGATGGTAATGTTGAGAGCAGAGGGGGTTTTGTTAACTAAAAAGTGTATTTAAATGTTTAAGATTGGTATTTTTAAAAAAGAAAAAATATTTTTAAAAAGTTTTTCATTTAAACTTAGGGCACTTACACTCTTCAGTAGGCAATCTTCAAAAAAGTTAAAATATTTTGGGATGTCTAGGGACCCAGATGTGCTGGGGGAAGCTCAAAATGTGGCAAAATAGCTCCCCACCCTCCCTAGAGGACACAAAGGGACTTTTTGAGAAAAAAAAATTAAAAACAAACAAAATGAAAGCAAAAACTAAAAATTTAAAGCAAGTTCTGCAGGGCTGGGAGACAAAAAAATTACAACAGGGTCTGCATGTAGTCTATCCCAGTTTAATTGAATATTGTGTCCAGATGCAGTCATGTCAGAGTCCTCTAACTCCACCTGTCTTGGATCTTGGAGCTCCTGCTCTAACCATCTTTCAGAATCCATGTCAACAAATGTGTTAAATATAATTAATTGAAACTCTGCAGCATTTATCAGAGAAAGCTGGCTTGAGATGCTATAGTTCAGTAGTCTGAACTAATGTTTTAATGGATTTTTGCAACCATATGCATTGTTTTCACATTCTGGCTAAATATAGGTGAAAGGAGGAATCTACTGTTCTTTCCCTAATGTAAAGAAACTCTTTAATAGATAATGATGATGTACTATTAATAAGTCCAGTTGGTCTTTTTATGACACTGCTATGTTGGCTAACAAAACACATGTAATCTGGACTGAAATACATTCTGTAGTCAGTATAAGAACATTTTTTATATACAAAAACCTCTGACATACAAAAGATTTACTGCAGTTTTAAACATCTTTATTAAGCCATAACTTTTCTTGATTGGAGCCAACTCCTAGATGTTACTGTTAACCTGACAGCCATTTCTTCTCAGCCCTTCTGCTATCTCCCCAATTTGTCTTCTCAGTTCCATGACAAGATAGATTCAACCATTGAGAGTCTGCAGCGGATCGTGGAACGTTTGAGACAGCCACCTTCAATCTCTGCTGAAGTTGAGAAGATTAAAGAACAGATCAGTGAGAATAAGAATGTGTCTGTGGACTTGGAAAAACTCCAGCCTGTGTATGAAACACTCAAACAGCGTGGGGAAGAGATGATTGCACGTTCGGAAGGAGCTGATAAGGACATATCTGCTAAAGGTAATCGGTTATGTTAGACAAAGGACACTTTTTGGTAGTTTAAAGAAACAGAAGAGTGGAATGTAAATATTTTTAAAAGGGGGAAAAAACAGTCAACCAGCAATTTTGTATTAGCTTTCTCTGATGACACACATGATCGATCGGGGTTGGAAATATTATTTAGTCTGCAGCTTCTAGAATCCCTGAGCCAGCCTGAGCACCAAGAGATTTTGGAAACTACAGTTCAAACAGTAATTTCTCCAAACTCTGTACATACTGTATACATTTTTCTGATTGTTTGATATTCCATTATGATTAATTTGTTATTTGTAAATGGCCACTTTTAGAAGATAGCTGTGATTTATCAGCCCAGGTATACTAATCCTCTACTGTATTTTACTACCTAGTGGTCCAAGATAAGCTCAGTCAAATGATTTTGATCTGGGAAGACATCCATACCCTGGCTGAAGAAAGAGAGGCCAAACTGCTTGATGTCATGGAATTAGCAGAGAAATTCTGGTGTGATCACTTGGCCCTTGTGGCTACTATTAAAGATACTCAGGATTTCATCAGAGAGCTAGAAAGAGCTGGTATTGACCCCTCAGTAGTGAAACAACAGCAAGAAGCAGCAGAGGTAGGTGATAAGCAAATATTGGACTGTGGCTACTATCCACAACTGCTTACCTCCTAGTAATGATGCATAAGTATGACATTTTTCTGGCTAAGTTACTGCAGTAGAGGCTTTAAAAGATTCTGGCTAATTCCTCACATCTAGGCTATATACATATATGTTACATCATGATATCCAGATTCAGACAGAATGGAAGACTCTGGTTGAAAGAATGAGCCACAGTGAACATATAGCTCACACATATCTCCTCCTCTCCCTTCTCTTTTGTACATTGAAGGGGAAAAAATGGAAACTTCCACTTCTAAACAAATACATTTTTCATTCTGTCTCAATTCAGGACAGTTTGTTTAAACTTTACTTAGTAGAGTGCACCTTACTTAAAAGTGGAAGTAAAGGCATCTGATTTCCTCCTCCGTGCATGAGAAAGAGAAGGAGGAGGTAGGAAGACAGATACTCACGATTGTCTACGGCTCACTCATACAGCACCAAACTATATTTCCCATTCCATCTGAACTACGTCTAGGTATGGTTTCCAGCACCATTATTCAGGCACTCAGTCTGAAGACATAAGGGTATCAAATGTGCAGGGGACTGAGCACACAACATAGCATCCATGCAAGTAAGGAAACCTGGGATATAAGGGTTTCTGATCACAGGGAGACTCTTAAGCACATTCAGCTGAATGTGATAAGAATCTCTCTTCATGGAATCAGCATGCCCAGGGACAATGGGTGTGGTGCCTGTGCCTTTTGCCTCATGAGTTCAGGTGGAATGGCTGAATGTAACTTCGGACTTTATGTTTTTCTACATTACTAGGGATGTGAATCTCTCAGCTATTCACACTCAGAGAGAAACAAAAAAAAAACCCCACTCTTTTCTCCTTTGAATTAGATTTCTCTGTGCAGGGTTTCTTGGAACTTTTGTATTTGTTTTTTGGGGAAGAAATGCCAGGTTGCATAGGATTATTACAATTCCTGCACGAAATGATTTATTTCCTGTGCAGAAAGAGGCAGAAGAAGCCATATTGTACCTTATACAGGATTGTTACCATTCCTGCACTAAGTGGCATCTTTCCTGTACAGGATTTTCCAGAAAGGGCATTAAGGTGCACAGAATTTGACAGTGTCGTTTGCAGAACAGTGGTCAGAAAGCAGGGAGGAAATGGGGAAAACAAGATTAGGAAGCTAGGAAATACTGCTGGTGCAGGGATGAATCTTGATAAGGAGTCTTGAGTCTTAGCATGGCAAGATTGGGAAAAACACAGAAAATGCAAACTTTTGCAAGTACTCATCATATCCCTAGTGTATGTAATAAAAACATAGCTATAGGTATTCTGTGCATCCTGTCTAATGAGATTTCTACCCTGAGAGGCTGATGCACTGTTGAAGAGAATGATGTTAAAGGGGGAGGAGAAGATTGGGTTTAAGATAATAATGAAAGTCCTGTTAATAGTGTGTGTGTTTTTATCACTGTTGTGTGCATAGAAATCATCATGCTATGATACAAACGTGAGGAGTAGGAAATGTCATATGTAATTCACTATTGAAAGAGTGTCCCTTTTTACCCAGTTCACTTTTTCCCACATGCGCACTGGGTTTGGGGGTTTGTATTTCAATTAGGAGCTGACCTCCTCTGGGGTGCCTGTCAACATAGCTTTGATGTAACCAAAAAGTGATATTCCATGTTGAGGTTGGTGGCAGAACTGGAGGGGGAGGCATACGTAGCCCTTTCAGCATGCTTAAAGGAGCTCTTGACACTGCTGCATGGGTAAAATGCAGGTTGTCTGGGAGTGAGGATGGATTCCCTTAGCAGATGAATAACTAGAGCACCCTTATATTTTTAAGAAACAGAATTGCTAAGCCTCTGCTGCACCAATTTCCTGCCCAATGCAATGAGGAGAGATATGTTACTTGAGTGCTTGCTCCTGATTTCATCTCAGGAGAATATTTTTGCTGACATCTTCCGTAGTTGAAGTAACTTCTGAATAGTCACAACAGCATGATACCTTGGTTAAACACCCAAAGGAAGTACAATATATTTCCCCCTGCATATTGTTTTAGTTTAATAACTCTAAATATTCAGTTCAATAGTATGCAATAATGTGATGCTTCTTCTTCCAGACTATCAAAGAAGAGATAGATGGATTACAGGAAGAACTAGATGCCGTTGTGAACCTTGGCTCTGAACTCATAGCTTCTTGTGGAGAACCTGACAAGCCTTTAGTCAACAAGAGCATAGATGAGGTACGAGTCATGTAAATAGCTGATGTTTTGTGCTCCTGTGAAATGGATAGAATGGAGGTGGGTTGACATTTGATATATGGCACCTACATTAAAGGCTTGGCAGAAAAATAGAATTCTCATGAGCAAAAGTAACCGTGCAGGCCTGTGGTTTGCTTCTTGAACCTTCCAGACAGTTAGCTGGAATAAATCTATAAAGCATATTTCAGTGATATGTGAAATAATCCACGTGTTGAGCCATGCCTCAATACCAAAGGGGAAAGTATGTCTCCTAGGGATTAACCCACTCTTGTCAGCAAACGGAGGACAGATGAGGGAAAGAGATTTCCTATATCAAATTATTCGGGAAGAATTTAGGAAAGAAATCCAGATGTATTAAGCAAGTGAACTAATCCCACATGTTTTTAGAACAGGATCGAAAAACTTTTCTCAGACTCTGGACCATTTTCTCTTGTGACCAAGATAATAATTAGTGGGTCAAAATAAAATGTGGGCGAAGCCACGCCACTCTTTCAGTCACACATACACTTACACAAACACACCATGAAGTTTGAGCCTGAGAAAAAGTCTTTCTGTGGCAGTAGTGAAGCCTTCTGTGCCATTTTTGCATCACAGATACAAGAAAAGCCCTTCAGATTTCCATCTTGGATTTGAGCAATTACATATATAGAAGCTTATTTTAAATTTAACTGGGACTTTGTTTAAAATGCAGCTAAATTCTGCTTGGGATAGTTTAAACAAATCATGGAAAGAGCGTGTTGACAAGCTTGAGGAGGCCATGCAGGCTGCTGTTCAGTATCAAGACGGGTTGCAGGTAAGATTATTGTAATTTTTGTTATTGCTACTGTTTGGAATATCATTTTATTGGGATTTTAAACCAGCCAAAAGTCACTGAAGTATCAACATAGTCTGTGTTACCTCCCACATAAATGCTGTTTTTTACCTGTAAAGGCATACATTTCATATGTCATAGGAAACTGTACTGTGTTCATCTTGTTTCACTTGTTGGGATCCCTGACCTCCAAGTTTATATTTCGATAGCACCTTAACTGTTCCTCTTAGTGTACAAAATCCAGAGACTGAAAAAATTACTTTTTTGATCTACCCAAACTGGCCATGATTCTGGGAGCTGTTGTCCAAAAAAGGATGTTTTCTGATTTCTGAATGATGATGTTTCATGGAAAGGAATTCTGAGGAAAAACTCAAACTCATTAGCATAGTCATAATTAGTTGTTCTGGTCTGCTTTTGATGGTCTGATGGCTGATGGTTGGATTCCAAAAGATCTCCTGTATGGAGAATTCATTCAGGGAAAGCATCCCAGAGGGAGACCACAGCTGCAGTACAAGGAAATATGCAAGCAGGATCTGAAGGCCTTAGAAATGGATCTCAACAGATGGGAAACCTTGACATCTGAGTGTTCAGCCTGGAAGCAGGTGGTGCTTCATGGCCTCTCCCAATTTGTAGAGGCACTTGTTCAGCAGGCCAAGGCAAAGAGGCAGTCCCGAAACCAGCAAAATCAAGAAGCTGGACAGGGGACAGGTTGCATTTGTTTTCAGTGTGGAAGGGATTGTCACTCTCGTATTGGCCTTCTCAGCCACACTAGACACTGTTCCAAGCTCTCCATTCAGAGCACGTTACCATAGTCTCTCAAGACTGAAAGATGCCTACAATGACAAACCATAGTTCACAAAGTGGGGCAAGCCTCAGGCTCTCGCATTCACCCCTCATTCATGCAGAAAGGAAATAAATATTAAAACTTTGGAGGTTATAGCAGGTCAGTGTGTATGCAAAACATCAGATTGATTTGATATCCTTGTTTGTTGCCTGCTGTGTTCACACCCACACTATGTGGATGAAAAATAAAACTGCACTTCGTTACAAACAGGCAATGGAAACAGCAATGGAAACCTTCTTTCTCCATTATTGTTACATATGATCCAAGTGTATATATAATTTTGGAATAATATTATATCAATAGATGAAGGGGAATTCTATTGAAAGAATACAGTACAGTGGTGCCTCGCTTAACAGCGATAATCCGTTCCAGGAAAATCGCCGTTAAGAGAAAACATCGTAAAGTGAAAATAAAAACCCCATTGAAACACATTGAAACCCGTTCAGTGCATTCCAATGGGGTAAAAACTCACCGTCCAGCGAAGATCCTCCATATGGCGGCCAGTTTTGCTGCCTGTATAGCAAGGAATCCGTCCCTAAACACAGTGGGGAGCCATTTTAGTTACCTGGTGGCCATTTTTAAACCACTGATCAGCTGATTAAAAATCATCGTTTTGCGAAGAATTGGTTCCCGAAACAGGGAATCGATCATCGCAAAGCGAAATTCCTCCATAAAAGATCGTCGTAAAGCAGATTCGTCGTAATGCGGGGCAATCATAAAGTGAGGCACCACTGTAGTACAGTACCTTGGTTTATGTACATCTCGGTTTATGTAATTTCTGGCTTACGAATGGAAATCTGTTGAAAATAATGCTTCGGTTTACAGGTGTGTTTTTTTTCCATTTTGCCAAGGAAGTTTCCCCATGCCTGGAGGTTTGTAGCGCCACCGCCATTGCTATGGCAATCCGCATTTCAGTTTACGAAATTTCCATGTTATGTAACATTCCAGAGAACATATTAATTTCGTAAACCAATGTACTACTGTATGGTCAACAGCATGCATTTAGTTCAGACAGTATGACAAACAAAAATTAAAAAGTTCTTAGAGTTTGAATACAAGACCCATTTCAGAGTTTCCATGTACAGTATTTTAATTTCTTAATGTACCATATTGGTTGACATGTAATTTGCCTGCAGTGAAAGTTTATCTGTAAAAGAATATCTTCACATTATGTGACTGCTGGCTTCCTATGGCTATGGATTTTTCAAGAAAAGGTTTTTAAAGGATTGTTGATTAAACTGTACAGGGAACTGCAACATGAAATCTCATCCTTCTTTTTTTCATCACTGTACAATTTACCCTATTTTTCGCTCCATAAGACGCACCTTTCCATAAGACGCACCAAATTTTTAGGAGAAGAACACAGGAAAAAAATCATCTGCTTTCTTCTCCTAAAATTTGGTGAGCCTTATGGAGAGGTCCATCTTATGGAACACACCCTAGGGTCCTAGGGTGTGTTCCAGGATGCTTTGGAGCCTCCCCCTGCCTCCCTCGGGGGCCAGAGGGGGATGAAATCACCACCTTCTGGGGCTCTTCTGAAGTTTCCCAAGCCTCAGAAGAGCCCCCAAAGGTGGC